ATACAATATGTACTTAACATGGAAATAAAATATTAATAAAATAAATTAAATTTTTCATATGTAATGAATATTTTTTTTGGTTTTTCTCCGGTACCGGGAACCAAACTCACGACCTTGCACTTGCCAGGCAGGCGCTTTTGCCGCTGAGCTAAATCCCCAGCCCCCCAAATTCACCTTTTGTAAGTCATATGATACAGGAATAGCCTAGCTACCACTGGGGTCACGTGATATTAAACATTATGATACACAGGTCCTTAGCTGGCAGGGAATGAATGCAGTTCAGATTGCAGAAGTCTTGAGATTTTGGAGAAATAGTTATAGTGTAAATACTTTGTAAATTATAATATCTCTGCATTGGCATACATTCTAACACCCTTACTCTGCTGTACTTTATAACATCCTACCATTACATACAGTACCTCTAGTGGAAATCAGGGCAGCATCTCGTAGTCAAATGCATTAATATAGCTGTCATAAAAGGTAAAATATTTCCACTGAGATAAAGACCAGAAATTCCCTCATATCAATTCAGATGAATGCTTGTTCCCAAATGAATATCAAAGCAAATTCCATTTGGGGAGTTTTTTTGAGTTTTGAAGCCATTCATAAAAGATTCTGGACCTGTACTTCCTTTCAAGCATCTAGCTCTATCCACTAAATCTAGAATCTCTCTTTCCTGGATAGGGCTGACAGGCTGCTGCCAGATTCTCGCTCCTTTATTTTAGGCTCCATGAGTCCCCGCCCCACCCCCTTTCAAATATCAGGTTTTCTTCAACCAGGGTAGAATATATTTGGCCTATAGGGGGAGCTCCAGGCATCCAGTTTCACTCCTTGTCTTCTTGCCATGACCCTTACACGCACACAAATGCAAATACTCCAACCCCAAAGAGGAGCTATGCATCTTGACTTGTCAAGAGACACTTTTATTGAGCTTCAATAAGAAAGACTGTGGTCTCTATTTCCCAAAATTTCCCTCTGCACCTGTGGTACAATAGATGACCAGGAGCATCCCCCCTGGGGTTCATCCCACCCTAAGTAAGCACTGGGTGGGCAGTTTAGATAGAACAGCATCCCTTAGGCCAGACTCCCTTTTCCTTGGCAGGCTGTTACACTGCCCCGTCTCTGCCATCAGTGTGATACAAAAGAGAAGTCAGGGGCTTTGATTTGAACCCAAAGGGAAAATGGAAAAGGTCTCCCTTATAGCCGAGGGGGCCTCTGCATCCTCGGTTCAGCTTACCAGGACTCCCCATTGCCACTGAGGGAAAAAGTTCACAGAAGCAAGTGTGCATTTTCTGGCCTTGCCCTTGATGTCTATTTCCCGCATGAACTTCAGAAGTGGATGTTGCAAGGCTGTTTCCTAGGTCCCCATGTGAACACTGTCCTATTTTCATTTGAATGCAACTTAAAAATACAATTGCCTAGATGTGGGCTTTCTTAGTTTTAGTCACATTTCAGGTTTGCTTTTTTCAGTTTACATCTTGAACATAGATGCTTTTGTGCTTTTTCCCAGCTCACATGTATGAGCATTTGTTATTCCGGCACATAGCTTGTTGCATAAAATTATGTGTTGTATATTTCACGGGTTTAGCTCTCAGATAATAGCCATGCACCCAGGGTGCAACTTCAAAGCCTTAAATGACTAGAATGACACAGGCTAGCTAGGAACAACCAAGAGGACCATCCCGGGGCATGCTAGTGGAGCCTGAGCCCGGCTGGTGTGTGTCCTGTAAAAATCTGGTCTATGATTCTACTCTAGCTTCTGCTGCTACTCCATATTTAACATACTAGTGACATGTATCTGTATATGACATTGAAGATGAGCAGAGAAAATTTCTATTGCAGTAAAAACATCACAATGTACACTACAGTGAGAAGAAACAAATACCCTTATGCCAATGCTAATTTTTCTCACTACCTTCTTTTGTGTAGTACAAAAGAAACATTTCTCTGGTGGAAGTTTTACCTCTCTCTGAAAGGCAGGATGTGGGCTCTGAAAACCCGCTCTTACTTCTGAAAGGGTACCTGACTACATCAAGCCTTTAGTCCAAAGCATTTCTGGTGGCTCCATTTAAAGTATTCACTCTAGGAAGCACCAAAAGTGTATTTCCTAAACCTGCTGACTTTAACCTTCTAGTATACCAGCATAGACTACTGGAAGCTAAAAATATACATCTCATTTAAATAGCTTTGAACTTTCTGAAGTGTTAATTGCTAAATTGCTTGTTATACAAGATCCAAAGTGTTTAACTGGGAGTTTCTGCACATGATATTCAGTGCCACCTTCTGACAAAATACCACACTCCACATGGGACTCTGTTAGACAGTCTGACAGAAAAAAAATCAGAGGAAAATCCCCCAAGACACTGGAGCTGCAAGTAGTAGCAAGGGAAAAGCATTGGAGGAGAGAGCTTTGTCCAATAAAGATGGTGCCAAAAGCTCCCACCAGAGAGATTTTGCTGGCTCATTAATACCCAAGCACTCCAATGGCTTCCAGTTTAAAAACACAACATATTAACATGAGAAGAAACATCACTAAAACCTCCCACTCTACTGAAGTGAAAATAAAATCAACTTCATCTCAATTTTAGTTAAAGCACGTAGGAGTTCTCTGGTTGATATGACAAAACCTACATTATACAAAGTTATTTTATGGTCTCATTGGTTTGGAAATTTCTGTTGTAAAGCATGAAATGACTGGTATTAGACAGAGTTCCCCATTTATATTTCTCTAGTCTAGAGAATCTGATACAGAACCTGATATAGAATAAAAAGAATGTTTTCTTCCTCATTCATTTTTTTCTCTTTCCTTCAAGGGTCCATTTTTTACTTATATGTGTAGGTGAAAGGACATCTCTATAGTATTTTGAAAATTCTGACTCCAACCCTTTGCAGATCTCTTAACCTAGTACTATTAGAAGTGTTTTACAGACCATTGACACTCTTATCATTCCAGGACCATATTCATGCAGAAATTCAGAAATGCAATTAGCGATTTTTTCAGCCATTTATCACAATTTAAAATCTCTTCAAGTTAGTTATGAAAAAGAGAGGTTTGCATTTTGTGCAATCATCCATGAAAAATGGGGAACTCAAAAGAACTGGCTGGTTTTTAAGCTCAGAGCATTTGAAAAGCATTGGTTTGATTAGTCTTTACATTTGCTGGAGACTTGTTCTTAATGAACAATGATTCTGATCTTCTGATTAGCCATGTACACAGTATCAAATCAAACTAAAGTCCAATACAAATAATTCATCACCTCCAATACACCACTGGATTTTTTTTAAACCTTTCAAACGCACCATCATATGCTAGCTCATTTAATTTTAGCAATCATGTGAGGTAGGAAAGATATTATCTACATTTTTTGTGCAATGTAGTTGAACTTCGTGATACTGTGACCCGCCTGAGCTGACACAGCTGAATTGACAAGTTGGAGGGAGCCAGGGAAGAGCTGAAAGGCTATTTACTGGGAAAATGAAGAAACTGATTGATCTTTCTAGGGTTCACTTTCTTTAATGGAAGCAAACAGATAATATTACTTCGCATGTTAAAGGCTTGATGCGAAAAATAAATGAGAAAATATTGTAAGAACTCAAAGAAGTAAAATGTGAGTTGTTCTTATGAAGGATCTATTCACTAGAACTACAGATAAAACAACGCTATTTCCCAAAGGGAGGACAGTGTTTCCAAGCATTCACACACATATGCAAACACACACACACACACACACACACACACACACATGTCAATAAATATTAGTAGAATGAATGACTAAACGAATAAGTACTGGTACTGAGTTCTTTCAAGTGCACATATAAATTCAGCAAGAGAAGTATAAACTTGTGAGTTCTGTTCCCTATTACCATCTTCCTTAGGATTTTATGGGCTGTCTCCAACTATACACAGATTTTTGAATGATCAAATGAAAGAACTGTAAATTCATGTAAAATTTAAAAACTGTTATATGAACAAGTTTTATACAGAATTCCATGTTCAAAAAAAAAGTAAAGAAAAGAAATAAAGAAAATGTGTGGTCTTGTTCTTGATTCACTCAAGACACTAGTCCTTAAAATGCTTACTTTCTCATACCCCGGGAGTGCCAAGGAGCCCAGTACGAAAACCACCATCTTGTCCCTCTAGAGGACACTGACATTGCAGCCAGGTTTAACCAAAGTTTCTGCAACTGACAAAAATTTAATAATTTGATGGGGAGGAGGGAAGCATATAGACTTTCAGGAATACCACTACTTCTCTTGAAATCTCCCCAGAGTGATTGCCACGAATTAATTTGAAAGTTCAACCTACAGTAAGTTATCCATAACCTTCCACTGTTCCACTCAATTGTGTTTCTTACACATTTGGAGAGAAACGCAGAATTCCCTGTTGGGCAATGTGGTCTTGTTGTTCAGTTGATGTGATCATCCAGGACCAGCTGTCCTCAAGTTCAAAGACCTAATGCAGAAGTTACAAAATTTCCTCATCATCTATTGACCCTGACTTACAAGAATTAGGAAGGGGAAGACATTGACCTGGTCAGCTGGAGGAAGTAGAATAGGACTTCTTTTGAAAAAAGACTTGGAAGAACTTGCTGTAGCTTCTGATCAGATGCTGGGCAAGACATTGGAGGCCCAAGAAAAGTTTCCTCAACAAATGCTATTCCAAGATGTACTGTCATTCCTGTCTGTCTCTGTCATCTCTGTCTCTCTGAGTGTCTGTCTCTCTTTCTCTCTGATCTCTCTCTCTCTGCCTCTGTCTCTCTCTCTTTTTTTTTGTGGTACCTGGGATCTAACTCATGACCTTGTGCTTGCCAGGCAGGCGCTTATGACACTGAGCTATATCCCCAGCGCCACCCCCCCCCCAACTCTGGGGATTGAATCCAGGCCTCAGGCTACACAAGCACTCTACCACTGAGCTACACTTCTAGTCCTCTCATTTTTCATTATATAAGTTCTGAAGTCTAATATATAATTTTATCTCACTATAAACACATCTCTTTCAGGTGCTGGGGAGAATGGAAGAAGGAGGAGTAGAAGGACCGAAAATACTTTAAAGAATCTAGAAAGACATCTCTTCTACCTGAGATGGGAGTTATGTTTGATTTCATTTTTTCATGTCTCTAAATTATGTTTCCTCTTCAAATCATGTAGAATTGCACATCATAGAATAAACTGTACAAAGTGACCAATGAGATAGTGACATGATATAGGAGTACATTATTACCATGCAATTCACATCTGGAATCATCTCGGTGCAATTTGCATGATCTATGTCACCTAGCCATGGGTCATAAATTCATTCTTTTGTAACACTTTAAAAATAGATATTCTCAATATTTAATATAACCATTTTGAATGGATATGTTGGAATATCAATTCTGATACTAATACAAGAAACTTGCAAATATGTCCTTTATTTGAAGGTATGGGATATTTCGTTAAGACTCCTGGATAGAATGGGACATTTTCTCTTTATTTTTCTATTTTATATCTAGGTAAACTCTTGCTCCAGCAATGTTTAAGGTACTGTAAAAATCTATAACTAGTCCTCAATTCTCTAGACTACTGACCCTTGACTATTCATTAAATCAAGACTTCATTCCAGCGGAATTCTCTGCAAAGGTAAAATATTTTGTAATTTTTCATAAATGCTAAATGTTTTGTGCCCATACAAAGATTTTTTTTAAAAAAAACAGACAAAATTAGATACATGCTAGGGCTAAGAAAGTTGAAACACCTCTTAGTATTTTGGGTGTTTCCAAACTAATTCTATGTTGTCCACAGATTTTCTACCACCCAGACTATTGTTCTAAGGGAACAGCTTATAAAATCTTAGCTGTCTTTAGTTTTATTCTTTTTTCAACTAGAAGACCTAAAAACTGTGTATGGACTTAAAAAGGACTCCAGATGCCGCTAGCCCTACAATTGGGAGTGCTAGCATCCTAAAATCATTTGATTATGATTACTTTCCTGGGAGAGATGACATGATGTGAGAGGGAGGAGATATGTAGGTCATAGAGTCATGAGAAATTTCATATGCATTCATTTTCACATGCGTGACCAGAAGGTTAAGATTGGGAGGAAGTGGTAAATTGCTTGGTAAAGACCTTTCACGGTAGTAGGGTCTGCTGGGTAATTGGTAACCTAAAAGGAAATATACCCAGAAAAGACAGAAAGAAAACTGGTAGGGATTTATTTTCTTTTTCTCAAGCCAAGGAAAAGGATCCATAAATGGAAGAAACAAGCCAACATTTCTCCCACTAAAGTGAAGCAACCCATGGTGCAATTATGTTACAAACGTCTTTCTTACAATTGATAACTCATATGGTCAGCAACCTCATAATCATAACTGGAAGTATGGCTTATAGATTCATTCAACAGATACTAAGAAATATGATAAGCATCCTGCCCTCCCTGTGTTTGGAACTTGGAGTTGAATGAGAGAATGATAAGTATTTGCAAGCCTAGGCTGCCCACAGCATTATGCCAAAGAACTTAGCACACAGCAATCAATATACACAAGGGAGGCCTTTACATTCTAGGCAATCACACAAAGCAGACATTATTGGTCCATTGACTGTTTTTTTTTTATTTTAAAGAGTAAAAGAAGAATAACATAGTAGTAGGGGGCTTACCAAATTATAGGCAAAGTGGTAGGAAATTATCAATGGTTATTGTTTTACATATTGTTATCTACAAGACAGTTTCTCAGGAAAACAAATAGATAAATAATAGTGAGTTACAGACAAAAGAGGTGGGAGATTATCAATAGTTGTTGTACTATACTTTGGTATCTTCAAAGTGGCTTCTAAAGAAAATAAATAGAGCTATATATGAGTGACCAGTTGAATAATCATTAACTATTCTCAATAGTTGTAGGAAACACATAATAATAAACTTACATCCATTTACAAAAAACAAATGAACAATACAAACATAACAGAGTTATGGACAGATTAGTAGGAACATACATCCATTTACAAAATAGCATAGGAACAATACAAACATAACAGAGTTATGGACAGATTAGTAGGAAAATATCAATGGCTGCTGTAATCATGGTGGTATCTTCAAAATGGTTTCTCAGGAAGACAGAGGTATGCAAGAGGATCTAACAAGTAGTTACAGCCTAAGGGTTGTGAAAAATAGTGTATTACCTCCTCACCAGTGACTCCTTTCACTGAGGTGTGATGGCTGAAAGGAAGGCCAAGATGGAAAAGAAGGACTGAGAGACTTGCACCTCTGTTTAGCAACAGGCTGTTTTCTTTTTCCTCCATAGTCATGATTACCTGGGGCTCCTCCATGGAGATGCCAGTCTGGCCAGAGGGAGAAGGAAAAGTATGCCCCGGGGCCCCCTCATTCCTGTTGGACTAAGTGGTAGGATGGGTCTGAGCTCTGGGGCCTCCACTTCAGAGGGCAGACCGATCGCCAGTGGTCTCATTTGCATTCAAGGCATGGCCCAGGGGGCTTCTTAGGGCAGTTCCTCTTGAGGTGACCTGGCTTTTAACAGTGGTAGCAGATGAATGCAGTCATCGAGTTCTTCTTGGGGCCCAGAGAATCAAACTTAGGATCTGTTTCTCTTAGTGCTGCAGCAAAAGCAGCTGCTTTTTCTCCGTCTCTCTGTTTTCTCTCCGGGCCTCCTCCTCGTCACAGCTATAGAATACTGAGGTGGCAATTCTTACTAACATCTCAAGTGAGCCATCTGGGGTGAAAGCCATGTTTTGTAGCTTTTTCTCTCTAGCCTCCCATCGCACTGGGACCCCACAACCAGTTAGTGTCCTCTCCCCAACTGTCAGCACAGGTAGCAGGAATTTTGGTGCAGACCTCTCTGGAGCTCCACAAGCTCCTCCACTGCAGCCTGTATTGTCAGGGGAAAAATGGCTTCCAGGGGGTCTCCCCAGGTATTGTGCAAGGTCCTCCTGGTTTACAGCTTTTGAATGGCTCTCGTGACGCCAGTCCACTAGACCTCTGACTCTTCGGGCTTAGTCTGTATTCTCATGTTCTCCGAGTCCTTATTCAGCAGCTGCTCCTCCGCTGACTCCGGACCTTTCTGGTTGTCAACGGCAGGGGCAAGAGTGACTCACTGTGTGGCATGTATTCCCAGGGGTTTCTCCATGTCAGAATGATTCATGCACGTCCGCGGGTGGGCCTCCGCAGTTGGCGTGTGGTAGGCCAATTGTGTCATTGCTTCTCTGTGCCACCATAGTTCTCAATTGCGCAGTGGTGGCTGGCCTGAGGGCTGGTGCGCGTCAGCACGCGCCGTCACATGGCTTCCCAGGCACTGGCGGCCCTCTTCCAGGGCACCTGCATGGCTGGGGGCTGGCCCAAAGGCCGGCACACACTGCCACATGGCTTTCTGGGTGCCGGGGCCGACTATTTTTTCTTTAAAACTTAAATTAACTATGTTATAAAATATGTTATATATATCTTATGAAAATGATTATGTGAGCATTATAAAGATTATAGAAGCTGTGTAAAAGTACAACAGAGAAATTTAATACCCGTCATAGCAACCCTTGGATATAATTACTATTAACTTGGAAACATTCTCTGTATGTAAGAATCAGAATATGGGGCTTGAAAAATTAGAGTCTTGAGGCTATGTATTCGGGGGCAGTTTCTGAAGGGGATTAGAAACCAAAGGGTTAAACCTAAATTTGCTGTTTGCCATGGATCAGATCTGAAATGTTCCCCAGAGGCCCATTTGTTAAAGGCATAATTCCCAGCCTGGTGCTAGGGGTTGGGGAAAACAAGAGGTAGGACCTAGTGGGAGGCCTTTCAATCACTGAGGGTATGCCCAGCCCCTCTTCCTCTCTGTCAGGTCTCAGCTGCGAGGAGCCTCATGCTCCCCACCATGATGTGCTGCAGTACCACAGGCCCAAAAGCAAAGGAGCCAGTTGGTCATGGACTAAATCCTCAAAAATCTGTGAGAAAAAACAAGCCTCTTCTCTTTATAAGTTGATTATCTTGGGATTTTGTTGCAATAACGTAAAGCTAGCACACTGTTTACATGGGACTTTATGAGATTTTGCTCTTATTGTTACTCTCACTTCCCCCTTCATTTGATCTTCAACTAGACAACTCTTCTACCTCTTTTAGCCTAGGAAAATATCATTTTCCCTGGGATATTTCTCCTGATAGTCTCCCCATACATTCAGCAGCTAATTAGGTTCCTCATTCTGTATTCCCAAGAGACCCCGACTTCTCTTATGTGGCACTATTTTAATTGTCACAAAATAATTAAGTATTATTCATTTGATGTCTATCTCTTCCATAATACTGTGGGAGAGCTTGAGCAGGACCTTTCCATCTTATTTACTGCTGCTTCTCTACCTTGTGAAGTGTCAGGCATATACAATATTCTTTGGATTATCCCAATGAATGAATGGTTGTGCTATAAAAACCAAAGGTTTTATAGGTTCTGCCAGCACAAGAGGCTGTGACAGTAGCTAGAAGCTGCTGCTGTAAACCCTGGTGCATTGTTGGTGGAAGAAGGGCGAAGGGAGAGCATGCCACAGTGAGGAGCAGTGTGACAGAGAAATTAGGTGTGGCACAGAAATTCAGCGTGGGACCTTAGGGAAGCAATTACAGAATATGCTAGTGGATCTAATTTAGACAACAGATAAATTTCACTTCTGCAGAGAACCAATCCACTTTCCTGTTGATGTATACTATAAATTCTAAGACATCAATTCAAACCAAAAACAGACCTAAAATTCACACTTTTACATCTAAAAACTGTTTAAATGCACAAATTATTCTAACAAAACTATCCAAAATAACTTTATTGTAATAAGATCTAAAATGTATGATAGGTATTATGAAATGAGAATAAATTGTTCAAAAAGAAAAAGAATTAGAAAAAAGAATTAGGATGGATGAAAGGGGGAAGGAAATTAGGGAAAAGGGAAAAAAATGCAAGTCAGTTATATCAATGCCTAGATCATTAAAAAGGAAGATTTGTGCTAATCTTGATTGGAGAAACTTTTATGCCCATATCTTGTACCCTGAGCAACTACTTTAAATATAATAACATGTAATGTACCAATTATTATTATTCTCCTATTACTTTGTTAAGAAATTTTGTTTTATCTTTTTTCCATAAAATAAAAAAAGAACTCTACCATATCAATAATCTCACACAGTAAGTCAAATACTTTACCAAATGTTGACAGCATAGAGAGTTTAGACACTTCCTGGAATCAGAGATGTGGGAAAGAAGAAGTTGTTTTTTCTGGAAAAACACTTAGGGCATTTTTTTAGGGATTCAGTGAAGGAACAGTTTTGAGCAAGT